TATATATATATATATATATATTAGAGCTATTATCAATTTTAATGATTTTGTAACTAATCATAAGTCTATTTATTCCTAAACATATCTGTCAATATCGCATTTGTCCAAACACAATGCGATATCACAATTATAATTGATCGCACTTTACGGGGGTACACTTAAACAACACACACTTAAAACAATATAATTTTATTACGACAAGAATGGTTGATGAGAAATCGGAAATTAAATCACATTTTCCTTCAGCATATGACATTTTTATACAAACTTGTCTTTTTACATTCAATGTCAAGCTAAACATATGATAGTGAAGTACGAATCTTCAACATATCTGTAGCAAGAACTGCATCAATTACACTTTGTTTTTCTCGCCCTGATAGGGGTGAGTGGCTATCCAGTCAAGAGCTCGCTGGATGGCAGGCGGAATTGCCGGCGGGGGTGGCGGGGTCGGTAGATGTGCTCCTTGGAAAACGGCACCATTCTCGTCTGCCTGCCAGCCGAGATTAATTTTCTGCCCGTCGGGCGCGGTCCACGACGCTTTGCCATGTACTTCCTCAGCCTCCTTGTCTTTCTGGCCAGAATTCTTCTGGACGCCCTGCTCCTCAAAGGTAATACCATTGGCGCTCTCCCATTTCAGAAAGTAACTACCATCCGGGCTGATGTCCTGTTCCTGCTTGACTATGGCTATCGGCTCATTTGCTGCCGATATTACCGCCGCCAGGCTCAGCAAGATAATTAAATGCGGATTCATCCTGGATAGGATCGAAAATAGATTAGAAATTCGTCTATCGCCTGATAACAAACTGCATCTACTTTTGTTTGTGATATATAAATTTGTATTAAAATTCCTATTACAAAGTTTGATCAACAATTGCTTTTCAAACAACAAAATTTATAAAGTAATAAAAAAAATTTATAAATGAAATACTAGAAATAAAGCACGAGAATTATAAATTTTCCCTTTGTGACCTATCGAGATTTACGAGTTTCATTTATTTAGTATTTATTTAGTATATCGAATTTTCGTGTAAAAGCTGTTGGCAAGTGTAATTTGAAATGGTAAATGAGAAGTTCGTATCAAATAATTTTGAAATTTGTTGAAGCTTATTGAATTATATAAAAGAACAACGGTTAATATAGCGCCGTTTAAAATTTGACTGACAAGCGATTCTGCGAGACTCTTACCTCAACTGCTTCGTTTTCCAGATATTGCGTGCACGGTACTACTGACGAGCGTTTATCCGCCGCGTCCTCCTTTTATAGATAGCAATGCCCTGTGCTATCGGCTTATTATTTCAAATGCCACGATGATACCGGTTCGAATCTTTATTATAGACCGATGCATACTGCAAAAGAAATTCTTTTATGCCCGTAAGCTTTATTCTCATTTATGTCGTGATAGTCGAAGTTCTGCGCTTCTGTCATTACATTTTCATTTCACTCTTACTTTATCGTGTTATCATTAATTTAGCATTAACATTTTAAATGTAACGATTATTTTTCGGGATTAGCAAAAAGACATTGCAAATGCCACGTGAACGGAATCTTATGTGTAATGTAGATTTAGATGTAGAAATTGTAGTGTAGATTTTTCAAAATTTCTCACTAATTTTTATAATTTTTGAATAAGTTAAAAAAAAGTTATACATACCGCAGTTGTTTGAGAGAATTTCCATACAAAGATATATATATAAATAGATACAGAGTTTAAGTACGTTGCAAATGCACGTAGTGTTTTAACCTTTGAAACGTATGTATTGTATATTCACTCGTTTTTCCTCGGGATTCCTTTCGCGATCGATGTGCATTGCCCTCGGATGATTTTTTATCGTTAACGCTCGACAGCTGCGACGTACGATGGGTCATTAGCTCGTTTATCCCTAAAATTCTTTTGTTGCAATTTTCGTGCACATCTAGCTTTCTTGCGATCATTTATATTCTTTTATAATCACGTCTTTTATTAAGCATTAAGTGATACATGTTTCTTAAAAATTGATTTGCATTCATTGAGATGTGTTTTTCGCCTATTTATTTTATTATACAAAACTATTAAGGATGTTTTATATATTTTTTCAAAATGATAATAAAATTACGTAAAAATTACAGAATATTCTAAATCACATTTAAGAATAATATGACAAATTTGGTGACGGTTTGCTATCTGGATCATAAGTTATTTTAATAAATAATAGTATGTTTTTAATCTGTACTCTATAATAAAAATATATGGAAATGTATTATAAAATAAATGATAAAAATCTCAATTTTTTAATATGAGTACATTATTTTATTAAAGATTATTTATGTAGAGTTACATTGCGATACATGAACTAGTTGTCCAGTAAATAAACAAAATATTTATTTGTTCTATCTTAACTAATCATATCTTTATAACTAATCTTTACAACTAACATAGCTTTATAACTAATCAGTGAATCACAATGAAACTTTGCATAAATTACTGTGAATATTTAAAATACTTATAAAAGAAAAATGTAAATTTTTTTGTCGTTTTAAAAAATTTTAATTTTTAACAATAAGAATAATAACAAATAAAATAAATAAACTACAAAAATGTATTATTGAACAAAAATATAATTTTATTTACACAACTTTCATATCTATATAGTTTATTTGAAATATAAATATTAAACATACTTCCAAATTTAATTTGCTTTGCAGGGACCGTAGGTCTAATACATGCTTAATCGTTGTTTTCGAAAATATGCAACATTGACTTTAAAATCAATTCGTATTTTCCTTTTGATTTTTTGTTTCCTCTTTCGTACATAAAGTGTATATATAATCCAGAAAAAGATGCAGACATATTAAAACTTAATTAATTTTAAAGTTAATGTTCATAAGAATAGCAATTTCTTCGGAAAAGATGTAAATTTTAAATAGTTATTGAAATAGCAAATAATATATTTAGAAAATTACTTTAAAGTTGCTCATCAATTCTCAATTTTAATCGCTAATCGATTCTAATTCTAATAAAAGAAAATATCATTAATCGTTCATTCTTTGAAATGAATTTATCCTATAAAAAGATTATCTTCCGCAACAATAAAAACGATTTGCAATGTTAAACATTTAAATGTAATTGTAATATTTGAAGTCTATATGATTTTTGTATAAATGTTTTAATTATGTAAATGTACATCGCACACATTTGAATTACGATGAAAAACATACAAGCTTGATGAAAGCGAGATAATCGAAAGCTATTTATTATCGAAATGGTATAGGTAAATGCAATGTTATTACATAGAAAGAATTATGTCACGTTTACTGGACATTTCATTTTAGTGGTTTTCTTCGATCGCTTGCGTAATACAATTTCATTACTCACTATTGAATTACCTTGTCAGTTGCCATAAATGTACCTGATACTCGTAACAGGATACGCATCATAGCGATATGTATTTCGTAGAAGGGTCATTAAAAACCGAAGCCGAAGCTTTCCCGCGACACTCTTTGCGATATAATAGTACCTCAATTCAAGTTATTGACTTTTTTTATTTAACACTCATTGTTGAAGTGAGGCTTGTTGGCAGGTATGCCAGGCTTACTTGCGCCCGACGATGTAACATTTACTCCGGAGGATGGGCAGATTGAAAATCTGCACGAGGCAAAATTGCATAATAACGGCGCGAAGACATATTTGCAGTTTTTAACCTTTCTGTGGCGAGAGCGAGCGGCATGAAGAGGAAATATTTTTATGACGTAAAAGCGCGCGCGCGTACATTCTAGCTATTATTTAGCATTCACTTATACTTATGTCGTTTTATGGCCAATATGAAGTATATCATATTTGTAAAACGCGACAACCTCTTCTCCTTGTAAAATTATCTGTGCGCACGCAATTCTAGAAGCCTGATATCTAAATAACAGACTGGAGAATGAACGTTCTTATTGGAGAACGCACGTTGGAGAATGCACGTTCTCGTAAAAAATAAAGAGCCAGAAAACAATTTGCGCGATCGAAAGTGGCTCAAGAACTATTCCAAAGAGCGCTTGCGCCATTTCCTCTCTCGGAGTTTCTTTACGATATTACTATACGATAAGAGAAAGAAAATAAATCCATAGAAAAGTTTTATTACAAGATAGTAAGAAAGATAGTTATAGTTTCAGAGAGTAATGTAAAATTCAAATGTTATCACAGTCTGCTAATAAATATGAAAAGTAATACGTAACATTTAAAAAAATGTGAATTGATTTCAATTTAACAAAATTAATTATTATATTATTATTTTCTTTCCTAACTTTCTCTAATATTAATTTTTTCAGAAGAAAAGGGACAGCAGTGGATAACAAAGGTGGAAAACAAAGGAAGCAAGTATAGTTAAAATAAGATATTTCCAATTTGGGCAAAACGCTTTTATTTATATACAAAAATCACAAGTTAAGTATACATATATACTATTAACGTTCGACGCACGCATGAAGGGTTCGCACGCGCGTGTCGTTCTCGTTTCTTGCGTGCGGAGACGACGCGCGTGCATCGGGGCACGGGCATCTCTTTGCCTCGATGAACTGCTGAACAGTGCGCTTTATTTTTCATCTATACAGGTAAGATAAAGAATCATCTCGGGAGTACATAGCTTATTATAGACCGGTGTCTCATGCCTTGTCTTCGTGTTACGTTTGTATCCTAGATTAATATACCACACTATATTTATTTTTATTTGTGTTTGTGTTTCGAAAGCTCGGGGTCGGTTCTGTCCATGGCAAGCTGGCTCGGAATCAGGTCACGTTTGAGGTAAAGTTGGGCTGATTAACCTGCAACAGAAAGAAGACTGTGAGGAACGGGCCCTGAAATATTTAACATAGCCGCGTTGCAGAGAGTCGGCTACGGTAGCTAGTAATAATACAATTACAGAAAGACACTTTATTATGTATACTTTGTGCATGTATAGATAAAGAAATCGTAAGATACAGTAAGATATAAACTGATTTTGTAAATTAAATCGTCAATATAAAGCACTCCTAAAACAAGCTAGTTTTAAAAGAAGTTAATGAATGCGAAACTTGATAAAATATAAAGTCCCTGGCAATACGTATAATAGGACGTAAATAATAAAATGAATCGGACAATCATAGTAAAGAAAGTAAATGTTAGCAAATGTTGATTTGTTTACCGTTTACGTTTTACTGCTTTTAAGTGTTGTTTTCGTGTGCCATAGTCTTAAGATAATGGTACGCGCGGGAAGAAATTTAGATTACAAGGACACTCGCAATTACATCCCTGTCGACTCGCAACCTATCCTAAAGAGAATCCGTTTCTTTATAAATCAGATTCTGAGCTGAACTTTTATTTATCAAGGAAATATGAAAGTCTTCCGACGTCAACAGCATATATTCTCCCGTAGGCGAAATAACCAGATTTTACTCCGTAAAAGCGGTTAACGTACGTCGAAATTGTTTTCGTTCCCAGTACATGGTCGCCACAAAGATATTTTCGGTTCACCGGTGCGCCCGTATTCGGGCCAATTTCAATTTCGAGTTCAGGACCAAAGTGAATTAAACGGTGCCACAGCGAGTCTCGGTGAGCTACTGCCGGCCGCCGAACTGCGATTGAGTAAACTGATTTACCCTCACCCTCTCCTCAACTGTTTGTCGGAAACAGAGGATGAGGCGTCGCTTAACGCACAGGGAAATTTAAATGGCTGCTTGATCAAAACGGGTTGCAGGGAGAAACGACTATCGGAATCGTCCGACATAAATCAATTTCACGGGATCTGCTGCGACTTTTTTGCCGTTCGGCTTATCCCTCGAAAGTCGTGTGTCTTGCGTCGTGCGGTAATTCGGTTATTTTGGTCAACCGTTTCCCTTTCGCAGAAGAATCGCACAGCGGAATTTTAGCGAGAAACAAAAAGAAAAACCGCGCTGTTAATCGTTCACTCCAGACGAAGGCGCTTCTTCCACTTACGAAATTAATTAAACCTCCGGTTGAGACACAAAGAAACTTCATTTTCATGTAGCGCGATGCGGTCACGCGAGTGATATTCCTCGAGGGTTAGAAACGCTGTTTCAAACACCGTGCCTTTTGAAGTCACACACTTGATTATTAATCTCCCCTAATTGTATTCTCGACCTCGCGATAAATCTTATACATTGACTCCGTGTGAGCATGTTTTTCGCAATTTCGCATATTTCTCACAATGAACAAAAAAATATTTGTTTTTGCTTTTGAAACTGAAAAAAATCTCATTCTAAAAAAATTCTATTTAAC